ATATACATCTCAGAATTCTTTAAATAAGTTTAATGAATCGTAATAAATTTCAACTTAACCAATGATAGTTTGACAAAATACTTTCAAATATCAGAAATGAAATGAAATGAAATGTTAAATTGACTTGACATAGTATGCATATAAATCTCAGAATCGTTTGAATAAATTTAATGACTCGTAGTAAATTTCAACTTAACCAATGATAGTACCGTAATTTTATCAAATATCAGAAATGAAATGAAATGAAATGAAACGAAATAAAATGAAATGGAATGAAACGTTGAAATTTAAACGTAAAACTATTATATTGATGAAAAATGTAATTTTAATAGTAATTACATTTTCTTTTATAAAATCAATTTACGAATTTCTTTTTTCTTTTTTCGTAATCTTTTTCACGAAAATAATGCAAGTACTAGTCATACCGTTTATATTTTCATTAATTATCAGCTTATTTAAGTGTTATGTTGAAGATATTGATAAGTAATGATAAAAGTAGATGAAGAGTGAAGGGACGAAATTCATCGTGTTTTCATAAACAGACAAAACGAACATTACGCAGCGGGCAGGATTCGAACCTGCGCGGGCAGAGCCCATTTGATTTCGAATCAAACTCCTTAACCACTCGGACACCACTGCACACATGCAAGCAACAATCCCAAACAATTCAATTGAAAGAATATTTTGGAAATTAATTTTGAATGGATACATTGATAAAAATATATAAGAATTCATTTCCGATATGTTCCGATATTCGAGTTTTCTATTATTTGCCTCCCAGAAACAAAAAAAAGAGGAAATAAGTTATCGAAAAAATATTGAAATTAACCAAAAAAAAAAAACTAAAAAAATTTGCTTTTCTCCATATGCTTAGGAAAGGCTTGTTTACTCTAATGAGATTGTAAGCTATACCGATGTTAGCATATGTGTCACTGGTATAGTCGCCAAATGCTGGAATGGTGTCAACTGAAGGGTCAGGATAAAGTATGTTCATGGGCAGAATGGACACGTTAATCTTCGGATAATTATCCTAGAAGAAGGATAACTCTGATTTCAATCCCAAACAGATTGAGCACATTTAATCCTGTAAGGCTATTCATCCATCTCAGAGAAGGATATTCGAACAAAGCTTACATTCTCGTCACTTTACTGTCAACCATATCCTATCACGATAGATGTCAACAGATAAATTTCAAAAGTAAAAGATGGAGAAAGTTTCACGTACGTCATATCTCATCTAAAAAAACATTCAGCTGTACAAGGTTCGAAAGATACATTTACAAATGGTAAGATTAGGTAGAAGAATCTTTTCCTCTTAAATTTCCAGAATAAACCCTCTATAACGGGTAAGATTCGAACTTGCACGTGTTGAATCTCATTTAATTTTGAATTAAACTCCTTAACCATTCGGACATCATTTCTGACCTCTAAATGACCTTAAAATTTTTGATAAAATTACATTTAGTAAACAAATTATAATAAAATGAAAATTTGAAAATGTTAAAAAATTTCAAAATATCCAAAAACAATGAGCAATATTTTTTGATCAATTTTGACTTTTTTTTTTTGGGTAATTTGTTGAATTTAAAAATGTTGTAATTTGAATTCGAATTAAAAATTTTTTCCGCTCGTATTTTTATTGTATTTTTATGATTGATTAATTTGCATATTTTAATTCTATTTTACAATTTTATTTAAATATTAGAAGAGAAAAGAAAAGAAAAAAAAACTAATAATTTCGTTTGAAATTTATTCAAATTTAAAATTCTCATTTCATTCAATAATAAAGTGAATTGTTAAAATTTGCAAATGAAAGATGACAAAATTTACTTTGTATATAATAAAAATGTAACAAATGCAGAGTGACAGAGAGAGAGAGAGAGAGAGAGAGAGAGAGAGTTA